ACACACACACACACAAACACGTGGCAGTAAGAGGAGACTTCAAAGACAGACAGGTCTGCCGGGTATGCAGCCCACAATGACTGTCACAGAGCCCAGTGCATCGACCAGAGAGGAGGGATGGCCAGAAGAAAGGAAAGAGATGAAGGAATAAACTATGAAAAGCTACATTTTTTTTTCTGCATGCAGACACTACAGAGGGAACAGAGGGAAAGGATTGACGTGTAGTGTAGGTGTGTTTCTTGCTGCTACAGAGGATCTGTGAAACAACAGGAAACCTTTTACACTTTGTTTGGTACGTACATGGCTCTCTACATACGCTTCCATGCTGTGCTGTACTCAGATTCTAACTCACAGCTTTGACACCTTGTCTAACATATCTCGCTTCTAATAACTGAAACAAAAACGTTCATTTTCTCTCTTGCCACAAGGGGTCGTCACAGCGGGTAGCACTGCATGGTTTGTTTGGCAGCTTTCAAGCCATTCCTGACTGATCTGTGCCCAGTGAATGCAGTAACCACGACACTATTGCATGCACTAACTAAACTACTGCAATATTGTGCTACTGAGATGGGAACATGTTCACATTCAAATCACAGCAACGGTTGCCTCAAGGTGCTTTATACTATAAGGTAAAGATCCACGTTTGTTCTCTTACAATATGTGAAGTTTTCAGCAGAACAAGCCACAACCTTACAGAGTTCTGCTGTCAAGTTTCCATTTAGTTCAATTTTAGTGCTGTAGTGAAACACAACAGTAATTGGCTCAAGGTATTTTACATTGTAAGGTGAAGTTAAAAGGATCCCACTGTCGCCAAAGTACAGAGCCCCGCAAAGGACATTGGAGAAAAAAAATAAAGATTAACTTCTGAGAGATCTTGCAAAACAGGCCACATCCTTCGCAGGTCGCATTTGAAGGTCGATTACGTCACAGCCAGGCGACAAAGGCTGTTCCAATTTGAAGGCCACTCCAAATGCGTCCTTCATTAACCCCGAATTTGATGGATGGGTCGGTGTATCCTTCGTTCTTCAACCTATTCCATAATTCATAGCCCAGCCAATTCAAGTTTCCAACAATGGCGGCAGCTACTTAGAGTAAGAAAGAGTAATCTTAAAACTATCTTGCAAAAGTTCATCTTCATTTTTTCTCTCCCATGTCCCTTGTGGGGCTCCGTACCAAAGCGCTCGCTCAAAGAAGGTCGTCTCATTGTTGAGATTTTCTCTGTATTATTGTAGGGTCTTTATTTTATATTATAAAGTGCCTTGAGGCAACTGTTTGAATTGAATAGAAGTCTTAGTGACAGTAAATTAGCAAAATAAAATTGGAAAATAAATGAAGTAATTGGACCCAGAAGCAGAAGCCTTTTAGGATGTTTACTGTAAAAGACTCTTGGAGATGTGGCTGGTATGGAAAGACTGATGATGGCTGGAGCCTGAAGCAGGTGGGAACGGGAGTGGGGAATGGCGGTGAACCTGGCAGGAGCGTGTGGCTGAAGAAGGAGCCGAACAGGCAGACGTGTAACTGTGGATGGAAAGGAAAGAAGCGAAATGAAGGTGGGCTGAGAGCTTCAGTCTGGCATCACAGCTTTCACTGACGAGATGATGAGGTGCAGGTGTCCCAGCTGCAGCACACACAGGCTGTATCCCAATTCAGGGTCTGCAGCCTTAAAGGCCGCA